AGAGACATACATTTTCACTTGCAACTTGCTTTAACATGTTTAACAGTGCATGAAATGTTGTCTAAAACAAAAAGAATGATGCATTTTAGTGGCTGGATCTGGTTTTATCACATTCTGTATTGGACGTTGAAAATGAGCTTTTCTCAGCCAGCAGTGAGGTCAAAATAAGCAGTAATGCAAACTCAGTCAGAGACATAGATTTTCACTTGCAACTTGCTTTAACATGTTTAACAGTGCATGAAATGTTGTCTAAAACAAAAAGAATGATGCATTTTAGTGGCTGGATCTGTTTTTATCACTTTCTGTATTGGACGTTGAAAATGAGCTTTTCTCAGCCAGCAGAGGTCAAAATAAGCAGTAATGCAAACTCAGTCAGAGACATAGATTTTCACTTGCAACTTGCTTTAACATGTTCAACAGTGCATGAAACGTTGTCTAAAACAAAAAGAACGATGCATTTTAGTGGCTTGATCTGTTTTTATCACTTTCTGAATTGAACGTTGAAAATGAGCTTTTCACAGCCAGCAGAGAGGTCAAAAAAAGCAGTAATGTAAACTCAGTCAAAGACACAGATTTTCACTTGCAACTTGCTTTAACATGTTTAACAGTGCATGAAATGTTGTCTAAAACAAAAAGAATGATGCATTTTTGTGGCTGGATCTGGTTTTATCACATTCTGCATTGGACGTTGAAAATGAGCTTTTCTCAGCCAGCAGAAAGGTTAAAAAAAGCAGTAATGCAAACTCAGTCAGAGACATAAATTTTCACTTGCAACTTGCTTAAACATATTTAACAGTGCATGAAATGTTGTCTAAAACAAAAAGAATAATGCATTTAAGTGGCTGGATCTGGTTTTATCACATTCTGTATTGGATGTTAAAAATGAGCTTTTCTCAGCCAGCAGAGAGGTTAAAATAAGCAGTAATGCAAACTCAGTCAGAGACAAAGATTTTCACTTGCAACTTGCTTTAACATGTTTAACAGTGCATGAAATGTTGTCTAAAACAAAAAGAATGATGCATTTTAGTGGCTGGATCTGTTTTTATCACTTTCTGTATTGGACATTGAAAATGAGCTTTTCTCAGCCAGCGGAGAGGTCAAAATAAGCAGTAATGCAAACTCAGTCAGAGACATAGATTTTCACTTGCAACTTGCTTTAACATGTTTAACAGTGCATTAAATGTTGTCTTAAACGAAAAGAATGATGCATTTTAGTGGCTGGATCTGATTTTATCACTTTCTGTATTGGACGTTGAAAATGTGCTTTTCTCAGCCAGCAGAGGTCAAAATAAGCAGTAATGCAAACTCAGTCAGAGACATAGATTTTCACTTGCAACTTGCTTTAACATGTTTAACAGTGCATGAAATGTTGTCTAAAACAAAAAGAATCATGCATTTTAGTGGCTGGATCTGGTTTTATCACATTCTGTATTGGACGTTGAAAATTAGCTTTTCTCAGCCAGCAGAGAGGTCAAAATAAGCAGTAAGGCAAACTCAGTCAGAGACATAGATTTTCACTTGCAACTTGCTTTAACATGTTTAACAGTGCATGAAATGTTGTCTAAAAAAAAAAAAGAATGATGCGTTTTATGGCTGGATCTATTTTTATCACTTTCTGAATTCGACGTTGAAAATGAGCTTTTCTCAGCCAGCAGAGAGGTCAAAATAAGCAGTAATGCAAACTCAGTCAGAGACATAGATTTTCACTTGCAACTTGCTTAAACATATTTAACAGTTCATGAAATTTTGTCTAAAACAAAAAGAAAATGCTTTTTAGTGGCTGGATCTGTTTTTATCACTTTCTGAATTGAACGTTGAAAATGAGCTTTTCACAGCCAGCGGAGAGGTCAAAATAAGCAGTAATGCAAACTCAGTCAGAGACATAGATTTTCACTTGCAACTTGTTTTAACATGTTTAACAGTGCATGAAATGTTGTTTAAAACAAAAAGAATCATGCATTTTAGTGGCTGGATCTGGTTTTATCACATTCTGTATTGGACGTTGAAAATGAGCTTTTCTCAGCCAGCAGAGAGGTCAAAATAAGCAGTAATGCAAACTCAGTCAGAGACATAGATTTTCACTTGCAACTTGCTTTAACATGTTTAACAGTGCATTAAATGTTGTCTAAAACAAAAAGAATGATGCATTTTAGTGGCTGGATCTGGTTTTATCACATTCTGTATTGGACGTTGAAAATGAGCTTTTCTCAGCCAGCAGAGAGGTCAAAATAAGCTGAAATGCAAACTCAGTCAGAGACAGATTTTCACTTGCAACTTGCTTTAACATGTTCAATAGTGCATGAAACGTTGTCTAAAACAAAAAGAATAATACATTTTAGTGGCTGGATCTGGTTTTATCACATTCTGTATTGGACAGAATTTTAGTGGCTGGATCTGGTTTTATCACATTCTGTATTGGACGTTGAAAATGAGCTTTTCTCAGCCAGCAGAGGTCAAAATAAGCAGTAATGCAAACTCAGTCAGAGACATAGATTTTCACTTGCAACTTGCTTTAACATGTTCAACAGTGCATGAAACGTTGTCTAAAACAAAAAGAACGATGCATTTTAGTGGCTGGATCTGTTTTTATCACTTTCTGAATTGAACGTTGAAAATGAGCTTTTCACAGCCAGCAGAGAGGTCAATGCAAACTCAGTCAGAGACATAGATTTTCACTTGCAACTTGCTTTAACATGTTTAACAGTTCGTGAAATGTTGTCTAAAACAAAAAGAATGATGCATTTTAGTGGCTGGATCTAGTTTTATCACATTCTGCATTACACGTTGAAAATGAGCTTTTCTCAGCCAGCAGAGAGGTTAAAATAAGCAGTAATGCAAACTCAGTCAGAGACATAGATTTTCACTTGCAACTTGCTTTAACATGTTTAACAGTGCATGAAATGTTGTCTAAAACAAAAAGAATGATGCATTTTAGTGGCTGGATCTGGTTTTTATCACTTTCTGTATTGGACATTGAAAATGAGCTTTTCTCAGCCAGCAGAGAGGTCAAAATAAGCAGTAATATAAACTCAGTCAGAGACATAGATTTTCACTTGCAACTTGCTTAAACATATTTAACAGTTCATAAAATTTTGTCTAAAACAAAAAGAAAATGCTTTTTAGTGGCTGGATCTGTTTTTATCACTTTCTGAATTGAACGTTGAAAATGAGCTTTTTACAGCCAGCGGAGAGGTCAAAATAAGCAGTAATGCAAACTCAGTCAGAGACATAGATTTTCACTTGCAACTTGCTTTAACATGTTTAACAGTGCATGAAATGTTGTCTAAAACAAAAAGAAAATGCTTTTTAGTGGCTGGATCTGGTTTTATCACATTCTGAATTGAACGTTGAAAATGAGCTTTTCAGAGCCAGCAGAGGTCAAAATAAGCAGTAATGCAAACTCAGTCAGAGACATAGATTTTCACTTGCAACTTGCTTTAACATGTTCAACAGTGCATGAAACGTTGTCTAAAACAAAAAGAACGATGCATTTTAGTGGCTGGATCTGTTTTTATCAATTTCTGAATTGAACGTTGAAAATGAGCTTTTCACAGCCAGCAGAGAGGTCAAAATAAGCAGTAATGCAAACTCAGTCAAAGACATAGATTTTCACTTGCAACTTGCTTTAACATGTTTAACAGTGCGTGAATTATTGTCTAAAACAAAAAGAATGATGCATTTTAGTGGCTGGATCTGGTTTTATCACATTCTATATTGGACCTTGAAAATTAGCTTTTCTCAGCCAGCAGAGAGGTCAAAATAAGCAGTAATGCAAACTCAGTCAGAGACATAGATTTTCACTTTCAACTTGCTTTAACATGTTTAACAGTGCATGAAATGTTGTCTAAAACAAAAAGAATGATGCATTTTAGTGGCTGGATCTGTTTTTATCACTTTCTGTATTGGACGTTGAAAATGAGCTTTTCTCAGCCAGCAGAGGTCAAAATAAGCAGTAATGCAAACTCAGTCAGAGACATAGATTTTCACTTGCAACTTGCTTTAAAATGTTTAACAGTGCATGAAATGTTGTCTAAAACAAAAAGAATGATGCATTTTAGTGGCTGGATCTGTTTTTATCACTTTCTGAATTCGACGTTGAAAATGAGCTTTTCTCAGCCAGCAGAGAGGTCAAAATAAGCAGTAATGCAAACTCAGTCAGAGACATAGATTTTCACTTGCAACTTGCTTTAAAATGTTTAACAGTGCATGAAATGTTGTCTAAAACAAAAAGAATGATGCATTTTAGTGGCTGGAACTGGTTTTATCACATTCTGCATTGGATGTTGAAAATGAGCTTTTCTCAGCCAGCAGAGAGGTTAAAATAAACAGTAATGCAAACTCAGTCAGAGACATAGATTTTCACTTGCAACTTGCTTTAACATGTTTAACAGTGCATGAAATGTTGTCTAAAACAAAAAGATTGATGCATTTTAGTGGCTGGATCTGTTTTTATCACTTTCTGTATTGGACGTTGAAAATGAGCTTTTCTCAGCCAGCAGAGGTCAAATTAAGCAGTAATGCAAACTCAGTCAGAGACATAGATTTTCACTTGCAACTTGCTTTAAAATGTTTAACAGTGCATGAAATGTTGTCTAAAACAAAAAGAATGATGCATTTTAGTTGCTGGATCTGGTTTTATCACATTCTGCATTGGATGTTGAAAATGAGCTTTTCTCAGCCAGCAGAGAGGTTAAAATAAACAGTAATGCAAACTCAGTCAGAGACATAGATTTTCACTTGCAACTTGCTTTAACATGTTTAACAGTGCATGAAATGTTGTCTAAAACAAAAAGAATGATGCATACTACCCTATGATAAAAGATAAGTCAACTGGATCTAGGCACGAGTGGGTGAGTGACATCATTTACTTAATTATTGAAAAAAAAACATTGTTTTGTTGCTAACATTGTGTCAAAAATACTAATTGTTGCTTTTATTCTGTTGTACAGGACACTGTTGCTAAAAAGCTCCTGAAGCGACTTTCAAATATCCGAAGTCCAATGAAGGCCAAACAGCCTCCTTTCAAAAGAGCACATCAGGACAAAGAACCTTCCGCTGCCGTGACAAGTGACTATGATGCTGATTCCAGTGCTTCAACAGTCATTCTGTCATCGCCTTCAAGTTCAAGCACCCCACGGCAAGAAAATGACAGCATTGATGAAGCATGTAAGTACATTAAAATTTACTTTAAAATAAAGTAGTCAATAGGGATGCTCATTTCGGTTAATTTTGCCAACCAGTTCGTTAATCGGATATAAACAGTTAACTGGTGAGATTAATATTAAATTATTATAGTTATTTTTTTTAAACTGAAATGTCTATTTTGTGTCTGACACATTAAATATTGCTATTTAAAATACTGATTTATTTTAACATGCGAACATATTAATAACAGAACATAACAACAGAACATCTTCACGCACCTGCCATCTTTCCAACAGGAAATGGAAAGGAAAATGAATAAAATAAGTAGGCCTGCCCTAATTTTTCATTTAAATTATTAATTGATATTACAAAAAGAAAACACTGACTGAATCCTTTTAAGGAACCGGCATAGGCTGTTTTTTTTCAATCATGTTTTTTTTTTTCCGTCAAATAAAAATAGCAGACTTCCTCAAATCGCTCGCTCCACGGAAAATATGCATTTATTTAATGCCCTGCTGTTATTATAATCATAAAACATTTTTAATAGAAATCATTATTTTAAAGATTATATATTGATATAAGATTTTCTCTCTTTCTCTCTCTCTCTACCCTAATAAAAATATGCTTAAATAAAAATAATGAAAAGACAATGACAACTCGCACATATGTTGACTTTTTGTGAACAGTATTGCTGTTTTTTTTCCCTTTCTAAAAACACCTTTTATGTTGACAAGGAAAAAAGAAGTGCGCCAATTTCCTCTGCTTGTGCACAAAACCTCTTGCACACCCCTCAAATATAACTTACGATGGTCAAGCGCGGATCTTTTGGTGCGCTCTCAAATAAACACTGCTGAAGTGCGATTTAGTGCGTTTATGTAGTGAGTATGTCTACAACATTTATTAGATTTGCTAGGAATAGTTCAGAATGTGTCCAATAAACTTAGAGCGGCATTAATGTGTCCTGAAGTAAAGTGAAACAGCTATAAACTCCAGCAAGAGTCATTGTATGCAGAACCACAGGCCATCTATAAATAAATGTAAATTATTGAAACTGTGGTCATCCTAACTGAAAGCTACGTCGTGTTTGTTGGCTTCACGCATCACGCACCTGTCAGTCAGTCAATCAGTCAGTCTGTCAGCACGCAACCTCAAGGGGTTTAACAAATAGCGCACATCACGGATACAGAAAAGTTTGCGCTGTTATAATTCACATGCCTTTTAATATGTTTTGGTGCGATTATAACCCGCTATTAAAAACAACAACAACAATAACTAAGTGATGTTTTTAAACAAATTTCGGGAGGAGCATGCGCAGAAGTTTCAGTATCGAATACGTCATTGACAATTATCCCATCATCAAATCAGTTTCTGAGCAACGCCTATATATACCAAAGCTGTCTTACCTGCAGCATCTCACGACTTTAGCATTGGCACATCCAATCGCTGTAGCCTTGTCCAAACAGCAAATTTCCATGAGGATGACACGGCTCCTCTTGCAAACTCCAAGCCGACGTCCAGCGCATCAGCACTCGGCAGAGCATATCAACAGAGTCCGCGGTCTTAACTTAGGCCCGCCAAGCCGCCGCTCTTCCAGACACCGGCAACAAACCGGCCCAGATCAAGCGAGTGCCAGGCCACCGCTCTACAGGCGAAGCACCACCATCGGCCAATTCGCCATGACAGCGTGAGCACGTCTCCGCTACGGCCTCATCCACCCCCCACGCACGGAACATTTCCACTTAGTAGCGCCCGCAATCCCTGCTCTCGGTGCGCCAAACTTAGGAATAGCAAGCCTGTCCGCTCGTGAGTGTGACGTCACGCGAAGCGGCTTCTGGGTCCAAGCGCTCTATTCAACTGCATGGGGAGACCCATGAAATGGTAATTATAACGTTTACAAAGTGATTTATTACTTTCGAAAATCATGATCACAATATAAATGTCTATGCCTCATACATGATGCAAGTGATTAATTTTATAAATTGTTAAAAATGTTTGGTATTTGTTATGCAGCAAGCCCAAAAATGGTTGTGTACAACATGACTCTGTATAAAACTAACTTATCGTGTAATATGTTTAAATCACTATCACAACGGGGTATATGCCAAAGCATGCTAATAGGACTCTTAATTTGCCAGTAACCTGGGTTAAGCGCTTCCGGCGAATTGAATGCCAATGCAAAAGCCAGTGTGTTTAAGGTCTGTTTTCTTTTAAAAAATTTTTTTTTAAAAATGAGCGATCTCCACTAGCTGAGTGATATCGCCATATCTTTATAATATGAGCATTTATTTTACCCCAGTATGTTTTATGGAGCTTATGCATTAGCCTGCCGTTTCTGACGAGCGCGTGCGAGTAAACAGCTTCTGTCTCATTTTATGCTTGAGCAACCAAATAAACGCTAAAGTTTATTTAACTGAATGCATTTTAATGACATTACAACATCGATGCTGTATAAGGAACTGTACAAATGGAAAAAAGTTCACAATAACAGGTCACTGGAAGTGTATCAGCATGGGAACAGCAGTAGCTCAGCATATACCCTACACATACGTCCACACCTTATATCTGACGGGCAGAAAGTGATTAATTTTTATAAATTGCTTATTGTTTTTGGTAATTGTTATGCAGCAAGCAATGCTTGTGCACACTGATTTTGTATAAAATTAACTTTATTGTGTGATAAGAATTTAAAGTGATCATAAACGAATAAATTTCTCAACTCAAATGAGTGGCGGCTTGGACCCGGAAACAGTATTACATACGTCACCAACAGGTCACCACTTAACAAGCGGATTCTTCCCTCATGCCGCTTGCAGATTAACCAGGTTTGTTCAGGCCCTGATGCAAGTTCCAGCGTGAGGCTGCCTCCGCTGATGTCACCAACGCCGGCAGCCCCTTCTGTCTTCTCTTTTCCTTACACCTGTGATCCTAGGACCATCAGTAGCGCGAGCACGCCTCCACAATCGGCTCTAGCCCCCAACTTTCTTCAGGCCCTGACGCAAGTTCCAGCGTGAGGCCGCCTCCGCTGATGTCACTAGCGCTGGTAGCTCTCCTCTCTTCTCTTTTCCTTCCACCCGTGATCCTAGGGTCATCAGTAGCGCGAGCATGCCTCCGCAAACGGCCCTAGTCCCCAACTTTCTGTCAGGCCGCGACTTAAGTGCTAGCGCGAGGCCGCCTCCGCTGACGTCACTTACGCCGGCAGCCCCTCTTCTCTTTTCCTCCCACCTGTGATTCTAGGGTCATCAGTAACGTGAGCACGCCTCCGCAAACGGCTCTACTCCCCAACTTTCTGTCAGGCCCCGACGTAAGTGCCAGCGTGAGGCTGCCTCCGCTGACGTCACTAACGCCGGCAGCCCCTCTTCTCTTTTCCTCCCAACTGTGATTCTAGGGTCATCAGTAGTGTGAGCACGCCTCCGCAAACGGCTCGAGGCCCTAATTTTCTGTCAGGCCCCGACGTAGGTGCCAGCGTGAGGCTGCCTCCGCTGACGTCACTAACGCCGGCAGCTCCTCTTCTCTTTTCCTCCCACCTGCGATCCTGGGCCACGTATAGACTATATTCCTTAGATTCATCGTCTAGGTACTTAACATGTATAAACTTAAGTATGTTATTAACGTTTACATAGACAAAACGCGTCTATAAAATAAATTGCTTAATTAAATAAATTTGATAAGTAATTATGAAGTAATAATAACACCAAGCTGATTAGCAACTTCAGCTCAGAAATCATCCAGAATCCCATGACTAGCTTACCCCATCTATTTTCACAGCGATTCAAGTCGCAATTGCACTCAGTATAAACCATGGAACTCCATTCAAAACTTCGGGTACTACTCAACGCTCCTCGCACTACCTTAAGTTCCTTTAATCATATCAATTAAGTTTTCCACAGAAATTAATCCCAAAAGTCAGCGAAAATGCGCTATCATTGCCCCCTTTTTACCATTTCAACCCCTAAACCTTTCCTAACCCTGGTCATTAACCCCTTCAAGGAGTTCTATTATAAGGTTGCTGCTGCACAGCGACCACTCTCACTGGGGACGCACACCCTATTACGTACTACTATTACGTACTACTGCAAGAGCAGTGACTGCTCCTACGGGAGACGTACACCTTATTATGCACCACTGCAAGCGCAGTGACTGCTCCTACGGGAGACGTACACCTTATAATTATGCATCATTGCAAGCGCAGTGACCGCTCCTACGGGAGACGTACACCTCATAACTATGCACCTCTGCAAGTGCAGTGACTGGCTCCTACGGGAGACGTACACCTTATTATGCACCCCTGCAAGCGCAGTGACCGCTCCTACGGGAGACGTACACCTCATAACTATGCACCACTGCAAGTGCAGTGACTGCTCCTACGGGAGACGTACACCTTATTATGCAGCACTGCAAGCGCAGTGACTGCTCCTACGAGAGACGTACACCTTATTATGCAACACTGCAAGCGCAGTGACTGCTCCTACGGGAGACGTACACCTAATTACACACTGCCTCTAGGGCAGTGACCACTCATACCTCATACAGGAGACACACACCTTACTATTATGCACCACTGTTAGTACAGTGACCGCTCCTACGGGAGACGTACACCTCATAACTATGCACCACTGCAAGTGCAGTGACTGCTCCTACGGGAGACGTACACCTTATTAAGCACCACTGCAAGCGCAGTGACCACTCCTATGAGAGACTCATACCTCATCATACACCACTGTCAGCACAGTGACAGCTATTACGGGGATGCATACTTTAACACACACCATTGCAAATGCAGTGACCACTCCCACGGAAGACGCCCGTCTCCTGTGGGAGCAGACACTCTTGCTAGAGACATTCATCATGCACCACTATCAACACAGCAACTGCTTCCTCCCGAAACACATACCTTATAACTCAACAGCACCCCTCCAAATTTTTAAGATCAGCAAATTTTGGGGGGCTTGCACATTGTCTGGCTGCTGTCCTGTAACAAATAGCGTTTTTTGGGGAGCGTTCTGGGGCCGGGCTAGATACTTCGCTCGAATCCAAACTCCTCTTTGTTTCCTTATAAGAGGGAATAACTCGAGTTGGGGCGTCTCCTCGAGCTCAGAGCCCTCCCCCCGGACAGCACGCCAAATATGCTTTATACTTAAACGAATGCAAGTGTGAACTCGTGAAATGATGTTTTTATACAAATTTCGGGAGGAGCATGCGCAGAAGTTTCAGTATCGAATACTTCATTGACAATTATCCCATCATCAAATCAGTTTCTGAGCAATGCCTATATATACCAAAGCTGTCTTACCTGCAGCATCTCACGACTTTAGCATCCCTCCACCACCCCGTCACTTCACCTCTTGCATTACATTCCCGGGGGGAGCGTTCTGGGGCCGGGCTAGATACTTCGCTCGAATCCCAACTCCTCTTTGTTTCCTTATAAGGGGAATAACTCGAGTTGGGGCGTCTCCTCGAGCTCAGAGCCCTCCCCCCGGACAGCACGCCAAATATGCTTTATACTTAAACGAATGCAAGTGTGAACTCGTGAAATGTTTTGAATAGGATGCTGTAATGTAGTCGTGAAGGGATGCATTTTGGTGTCGCACTCCGCCATAGAAGAATGAATGTAGCGGGATCCATGCTCTTTAAAAGTTCTCTGTAGTTGTCTTGACAACACACACACTGCTGCTCTGGGTTGAGCGGCGTGCAAATCTCTTGCGGCTTTTAGTAAACCATTCAAAAGATGCCCCTCTTAACGCAAAAAGCGCATTCGATCGGCCCCTAATGCAGCTAAACTAAAAATATATAAAATAGTATTTTTTAATTGTTTAACTGATACCATACGCATGATACAAACGCATCCTTTCGGTTAACGGTTAATCGATTACTTTGAGCATCCCTAGTAGCCAGACATGTCACTTCACTAGGACATGTTCTGGCCATGATTTTAATATTTTTATTTATATATGTGTGTGTAATACATAACATCTTATTTGGTGATATATGCATGCCGAATTTGTTCTATTTGTAACGTAAAATAAATTATTCAATTGTTGATTTCTGTGCATCTTGTTCAGTAATTATATTGTATGGCTAAATTGCAGCTGATGGTCCTGACAACAGCCTTGACAGCCAGAAAACCCAGACAAGACATTACAGGACGCTACAAGAAATGTACAAAGCAAAGAAGCCAAATAAAGCTGCTGTAACCCATCTATTAGACCTGGAGTTCCAGTCCAGAAGAAGTTTCATTGACTCAAATGTACTGAAGGAGCAAGACAAACCCACAAATATTTTGCAAGCGTACCCCTGCTTCAAAGAATTGGACCATGTGGGTACTCGAATGCTGACATTTTAGACAGATGTAAAACATACTAACACATATCCCATATCCTCTGCCTAACTGCAGACAGCCAAATAATTTTGTTTTTAATATTAAATAATTATTTCAGGCAATGGATGAACTACGAAGAATCATTGAGCCAAACAACTCCAAATACATTTCTGAGGTGAAGGACAGGTGGGAGACCTTCTACTCCAAGGTTCAGTTTTATGGAGTGATGAAAAAAGTCATGAAGCCTCCAAGGACATTAAATGGAGGTAAAACTTTAATTTAATTTGAATCTGTATAGATCAAGGGTTCTCAACTCTGGTCCTCAAGGTCCAGTTTAACTCCAATCCTAATTAAACACACCTGAGCTAATCTGTGTTTTCAGTTTTTAACAAAAATCTACAGGCTGGTGAGTTTAGAGTTAAAGGTTGGAGCTGACCTCTAATCTCAAGGGCCAAGTGTTGAGAACCCTTGTTATAGATCAGTTATTTTTTTAATTCAAGAAGTTTTCTGTTTTCAGTTGAAAACAATGTTGTGTAAACAGTCCCTTAATTCAGGTCTCCTGGATCAGAAACCAGTGGTATAGATTATTCCCATACATCTACAGTAATGTCTGATGTTAATATCTTTTTTTTTTTTTTAACTAAACTAGTTGAACATGCCATTGCTGTTTTTACTGCCCTACCGCTGCTCTTCCCATCTGGGTCTGCAGCACCGAAGAAACAGGTCCCAATCAGTGAGGCTCTTTTCCATGTTCTGACAGTGAGTTTTACTTTAAGTAGTGATAAGTTATTAACAGGTGACTACATTGTCAATAAAATACTAAGTTAAAACCATCCCAATTGCACTACGTAAAATTGGACATGCAACGTAACAACTAACTTAAAGGTATTGTAGAACATTTTTTAATTATGTCTTTATTTACTTAATCACAACCTGCTAAACACAAAAGTAGGATATTTTGAAGAATGTTGATATGCAAACCCAGATCTGTTGGGTTGGCATTCACTTCCATTGAAGAAAAAAAAAATGGAAGTGAATAGTGACCCAGATCTTACATTGATTTTTGCTGTGTTTGTAGTCTGAATTCTGTATTTTTGTTATTTGGTTTTCTAGCCCTCAGAGGATCCGGATACCTACATCCACAGGCGTGCATTTTCCAGTCCGGTCTTGCTGGTTGGTGAGGAGAACTGCATGGTGGTTGTAGGTACAACCCCAGTTCTAACATTTGACAAAGACTTGCTCCATGAGGGGCCTCTCTACCTCCTGGCCTATTACTATGCATTTAATCTCACATATCCAAAGTGTCTTGCAACACTCTTGTCTGTGTTGCAAACACCAGTTCTGAGAGATCCACGAGCAGGATGAAACCCCCTCGTACAAAAAGGCCATTCATGAATGGAGAATGTTTGTTGACTAATTGCTGTTTCAAGCTGCTGTGGTTAAGAGACAGCTGCATTTTTTTTTCGGCCATTACATTTGCACTTGATTTGTGCTGTTAGGAGTTTTTCCCCATTTTCAGGAGATTAAATGTATCTAACATACAATAATGCAGCACAGCAAAACAAAAAGTAATTGTTGTGTGTAACTTTACAGGACATTTTTTGTTATTATTATTAATGTTGGACTGTTCATCCTGTTTTGCTGTACCCCAGTTGTTTAAGAGGAAAATGTTCATTTTTGAATCTGCCAGTCATTGTAAGAATCCCCTAAA